GTTGAAGCCAGGCAGCCGCCCGCCTAGGTTAGTCACGCAGCGGATCTGGAGGTTTTGTAGCTTTTGAGTGTGCCACTGTGACATTGAGACAGTGGAAGGGGAAGTCAGCAGCTGGAGCAACAGCCTCCAGAGCCTGCATTTCATTTGACTGCCGTGAGTGATTGTCATCGCCGTCACTCCATTGAGGGGAGATGTTAATGCTGTTGTGAAAAGTTGGTTGACTTCAATGATTTACGGAACAATTCCAGGCGGCTGTTGGCTTGTGATAGCGGATGCTGTCACTCATGCGGGAAATTCCATTCAAGTCTGGAGCTTGAAGTTCTGTAGGGGAATGGCAAGCATTGAAGTTGGGTCTGTGTGCTGCGCGAGTGTCTGCTCTTGGAGATTCCGTGCTTTGAACTTTGCACTTGGCATTGCAACTCATGATTCTGGAACATTGCGGTTCTCCTGCCTCAGCTGTTCATATCTCCAGGTGTGTGTGCCGATTTTTGGGTCTGCTACTCTGCTTTGCCCGCTTCAGGATGAGCGCTGCTCCTGATGCAGCACTTGTTTTCGAGGAGGAAGGCGTGCTAGGTGCCCTTCCACAGACTCCGCAGTCAAGTGGAGGGTCCAGTGTAGTCCCCATGGATACCAGTTCCTCAGCAGGAAGCACTGCGCACGGAGGATCAGAGGATGGGCTTGCGGCGTGCGGTCAGGCTGATGCAGCAGAGCGTGAGGCCAAGAAGAGAAAGCTTGATGAGCGCCTTTGCTGTATTTGTGAGGTAACGCAGGCTCTGCCAAAATTCACATTTTGCAGGGAGTGCAAAAAAGATGTTCAAAGCTGCCAGAATCAAGCGAAGAAGGAGGAGCGAATGGCGGAGTGGCAGCGCTTGACCAAAACGCCAGAGGGGCTCAGACATTTGATCCTCCACTACAAAGCAGCCTGTCCTTCTAAGGGACAGGGTATGAAAAGGGCCAACATGGACTGGGCGCAGTACCTGGAGCGTGTCTATTCCTTGAAGCAGACCCGTCTTGGAGTAAAGGAAGTGTACATGGACTCCAGGCTACTTGTTAGTGCGGCTTTTAGGTTTTCACTCTCCAAGTTGCATGTGAACTGTTGCAGAAAATTGCAAATCCTTGTTGGCGTGAAGTCCGTATGTGCATCTCAGGACTGGATAGCTTACGAGGAGTGGGCCAAGAAGAACAAGAGCCACACGTCCCAGCAAGCCATGCAGCAGTGGCAGAAGTGGGAGGCGGACAACCACGACCATGATTTCAAGGGTCGACAAGACTATGAAAAGCGCTTTGCCGTTGAAGTTGAGGAGTACCAGATCAAGGAGAGCGTCAAAGGCACAGCTGAGGACAGACAGAAGACAAAGGGCAATGGTCTGGGTTAAGGGTTGGGTTTGGGTTAAGGTTAAGGGTTTGGATTAAGGGTTAGGGTTTGGGTTATGGGTTATGGTTTGGGTTAAGGGTTAGGGTTTGGGTTAAGCGTTATGATTTGGGTTTAGGGTCTAGGGTTTGTGTCAAGGTGCTTAGGATTTAGGGTAAAGGATTTTGGGTTGAGGGTTAGCGTTTGGGTTTAGGGTTACGGTGCTTGAAGTCTGGAGCGTAGGGGAAGGGTTTGGATTTAGGTTAAGGGTTTGGCAAAGTTTGGCTTTAGGGTTGGGGTGTGGGTTTAGATTTAGGTTTTAGGTTTCAGGTCAAGGTTTGGGTTTGGGGTCAGGATTTGGGTGTAAGTGAGAACTTGGCCACCCCCCAAATGCAAAGAAGTCTGTATTGTCTATTTATTGATTTGGTGATGAATGACCCATGAGAGGTTGTGGTTCATGAATCGCCAAATCAACACACAAACCGTGCGAAAAACCTCGCAACTGGGAGCCATCTTCTGACTCCAAAACGTGTTGTAGGACGTTAGGATGTTGCAGGGACGTTTCATTGCAGGGGCATTTGATGTTTCATTCAACAGCTGTGCTCAGTGTTTGGCACCTGCGTCGAGTACTTGAAGGGCCATGGGAACAAATTCAAGAACAGCTCCTCGCATTTTCTTGCAACATGCCAATTTCTTTTAACATGAGGATTCTTGAAAATGGATGGTTCCATGAACTTGTGTTTTCCGACATGCTTTCACTGCCTGCTGCTGGAATGGATTTGTGGCTTGACTTTGTTGATCGCCTGCAAGTTTCTGAAGCCTGCAGAGGTGCTTGAATTGTGCATCAGAGGACAGCTGTGTGTTCCCCAAGCTGGAAAATCTGCATTTCTGACACGCAACTGATCTAGCTAACCTGCACCTCTCAAATCTCTGCTACTCAGACCTGCGCCCCCAAATTCATGAGGACCAATAATAGACATTTACCTTACATTTCTTAGACCCAGCAATGCCAAGCGATTGTGTACATTTCATTATTTCTGAGCAATTTCCTGCTTTGTCATGGGCAGTGAGTTGCAGACGTATTTAACCCTGTCAAAGCGTGGAGCCTTATGAAAGTTTCCCATGAGAAGTCTGGTGTTTGCGTTTGATTCAGGAGTTGATTTCTGGCACGAAGCAGAAGAAGGGCAAGGATGCTGAGCACCTCATGGGCAAGGAGGACGGCATGATGAGCAAGAACAAGGAGACCGGCCATGGCTACCAGGACAAGAGCTTCTTCAGTCACTTGCCGCAGCGGGGCGCGGATGGTGGAGCAGACATGGATGATGCCTTTTCTTCTCCTGAGAAGCCAACCCTGGATGGCTCCGACTCCAAGGGCAACAGCGGGAAAGGCAAAGGCAAAGGGGGTGGTCACAAGCCTCGAGATGTCGCTCGAACCCGGGCCTCTCTGCACGAAAAGATTCGAAGAAGCATCGCCGGCATTCAGAAAGAGTTCAAAAGCATCATGGCCGAAGCAGACCAGATGTGCAAAAAACACGATGGGGTGAAAGCCCAATATGAACACTTTTTCGACATCTTGCTTCTGCGGCGGGACATCTTGAGCGAAGTGACGCTCAATACAAGCCAGGATGATTTCAAGAATTACCTGAATGGTCTCCCCGAGAGGCTGATTCAGCTGCAGCCGATCCCAAAGGCTGTTCTTGAGAACACTCCAGTGGTTTCCGTTTTGCAGGATCTTTGCCAGAAGCTCCTGACCGTCGAGGACAAGGAGATGTTGGATGCCCAGGCCAAGCTGATTTCCGATCACTTGAGCATCCATGCGCAACTTCGCAATGCCTTGAAATCAAGTGCCAAAGACTTGGACAGTGCCGTCAAAGCTGCAGAGAAGAGGGCCGAGAAGGAGAATCAAAAGCAGCAGAAGAAGCGACAGGCAGATGAGGCAAAGAAGGCAATGCAGAGCAAGAAGGAAAGCTTGAGCAGTGCCAACGGCAAGGGTGGCAAGGGAGATCCCAGAGGCGGATCAAAGAGTGCAGCCGACCTCCTACGGACTCCGGATGCCGTCTTGTTGAACAAGCTGAAGGTCACCCCCTTTGACAGCTTTCCGGACTTGAAGTCTGTCAAGGAGGCTGGCCTGAAGGGTGACAGGCCCTTTGTGATGCAGTCCTTCGATGAGATGAAAAAGCTCATCACAGACACGCCGCCCTTGCGATGCCTGCTCACAAATTTCAGCCATCAGTTCCCAGGAAGCGCCATGTGCGTCCAGAGTGGGCGTGCTCAATGCCCTGTGAAGATTCCTTCTGAAGATGCCATCATCAAGAACATCCAGTCCATCATGCTCTCTGCATGCCCGTTCCATGTGGAGGCCGATGGATTTGCAAGCCTTCGCCCAATCCTGCACGTTGCAATTTTCGGCTTTGCCAGTGACATGACGTACTCAGGGTATGAAGAGCGTGGCATGGGTCAGTTGCGATATTTCTCGCAAGGTGCCCGAAAGATCTTGGTCGTCAATCCCGTGCTGCTATGCAAAGGCCTCGGCAAGAAGTGTGATAGCTTGCAAGAGCTGTTGCAGTTGTGGAGCAGCATGGATGTGCCCACCCTAGAGAAGCTGGAAGGCGGGGCTGGCATGGTGTATATGGCCATGCAGAAGCCAGGCAGCCTGCTGTATGTTCCTCCTGGATGGTTGATCATTGAGCAGGTGATCAACAGTGAGAAGGCGCACGGTCTTCGCTTGTCAATCATTGTGAAGGATACTGGGTGCCAAGAGGCCTTTCGCTTCTTTGAGCAGCGCCTTGACCAGGGCCATCCGTACAAGAGTTCTGCAGTGCAGGTTCTGCAGGCCATGGAGTGAGC